TACAGGTCAGTCTTCATCAGAAAGCGTTCCATCAGCTGAATATTTCAAAGTTTTCATTACCATCATAAGGAAGCATTAACAGTGATAAAAAAGTCAGTCAGCAAAAATTCTATTACTTCTCTTTTAGTGAATGTGATCGTTACATCCTCACTCAAAAGTCCCCCATTTCCTGAGGGATCAGAACAACTATTAGCTGAGAAGCACAGAGCAGGTACAACTGACACCCATTTAGGGCATAATCCCATTGCCATAGAGAAACCCTGCTGAAATCACACCCTGAATAGCTGTTCAGGGAGGAGGTTCAAAGCGTACTTGCTTTTGTTCAGATTAAGAATAAAAAGAAGTGTAACAAAGATGGAGCCATATAACACAACCCTTCTCTTATGCTTTCTCTCACATTTTGTCATTCTGTGCATTGAAAGTTTATTCTTTTAGCTGGATTACTTAAACTGCACAGCGTTCTTTAAAAATGGCTCTCTGCATTTCTCTCCATGGGTTACTTTGAAGCGCAGCGTGTCTATTCTTTTAAACAGGTTCGCTCTCTTCACAGGTGTTCATTAAAACACGCTCCACTCTAATCCCCTTAGCACTGAGGTATGCAGCTTTCATAAAGGCCGTTTGCCAAACCAGTACTGCCAAACTGTACAGTGCTGTAAAATGCAGGCTCTCAGAAAGAATGTCTTCAGCTGTCTTAAAGACCACACGTGCTCATGCTGCAACAAATACTGACCTACTTTGTTATCCTGCTTTTAAAATGCTCTTTGTCTTCGAAGCTTGCAGAGGAAGAACAGCCACTCCAGACTGCAGTCAGTTCACATCTCTAGTTGCTGGTGAGAGCACAGGTTGGAAAACCCACTGCCCTATAAATAATAGAGGCGATGCTCTCAGCAGCTCGCTTACTGAAAAACTGACTTCACAGGCAAGAAACATTGAATGAACAACCACCTTTTTCAGTGCTTTCCTCACTATCCTTGGCACAACATGTGGCACAAAAATGTAAGCTCCCAGTCATCATCCTTCCCAAACTTTCCCAGTCCCCATCAGCAAGCACAACAGAAGCGGATCAGGAGATGAAAGTAGCAGGCACTTAGGGCTCCTGCATGTGCCGCTGCAGCTCTGTGCTTCCAAGTGTTCATAATTCAACAGACACTCACAGATCTTGGTGAAATGTATTCCCTGTAGTCAGCAGCAGGAGGCAACCCAGATCAGCTTCCAGAGCAACCCTCTGCAGGGCACATAGGCACGCTCTGAGCTCTTTGAAACGGGGAATTGGTCTCATTTGAAGTACTCTGGGCACACTTCTTTGAAGATGTCACTTAGCAAATATTAAATACATTCCTCTAATTTGGGGAAATGAAAATTCATTTTACCAACAGAGAGATGGAATGCAGAGAGACTGCAAAATTGTTGGTAGGAAAGAAAAAGAATGCCTTCAAGCACAGGAAGAACAGCAGCGACCTGACACGGCATCTCACTTCCAGCGTGTTGTTTCTGCTCAGTGATGACTATGAAGGATTCAGAAGAAAACTTCAGTACTGAGACTAGCATTTCTCCAATACCAGGGCTACCTACCAGTAGAGATGCTCAGGCCTTGGTGTCAAAGACATGATTTCTACCTGGTCTGGTCATCAAGTAAGATCAAACTGTGATGTAATGCTCACATACAAATGTACGTTGGACAGCATTAAATAAATTCAGACACGAGAACTGTTCCTGTTGAAAAAATTCACCACCAACAACTGACTCTTCACTACAGTTTCATGCAACCCAAGAAAACTTCTCAACTGAAACAGAATCATGATTCATTCTGCATTGCATTCTTTTAGATGTACGTGTAAAATAAATACAGCCAGTTACCGTGTAACGCTACCAAATTCACACGAGTTGAATTCCCAGTTCTATGAATGCTTTAAGATGTTGCTATCTTACTACATTTACAAAATAGAGAGAATTGACTTTTTGGTCTCTGAAATGTTGCATAGTACTGCAGGTCAAGAGAAGATGAATATATTGGTTTTGAAGAGGGCTGTTGTGCTCTAGTATCTCCTATAAGAAACAAGCAATTGACATTTTAGAACTCCATGTATTTCATGGACGTTTTGCCATAAGCTCCTTAAACTCAGACAAATGGGTGCACTTCTCATTATCAGTTCTGTTTTCCTTTGTGCACTGACAAACTAGTCTCCATATGACAGTGTGTAAAGGGGAATAAAGCAAAACAAAAAGTGCACAAGCAAACACTGGGGGATACAAACAAAACTTTCTGAATTCGATTAGATTAACTTCAAAAGAAGATTTTAACTACTACAACCTTTAAGAAAACAATCCAAAGCAAATAGTTCTTTTTACTCTTGATGGGAATCGTTCCAACTAAGAGAAAATATTGACTTTGCCAGGACAGCTTTGCAGCATAAAGTGCGGAACAGTACCTGCAGGCCAACAGCCTGCATCACGCGCCAGCACCAATAATAATGCAGCAGGGCTCTTGTATTAAGAACTGCTCTAAGCAGGTCGTGCTTTTGTACCTCACCCTTCAGTAGTGTTTTCTGATTTTGTCTGTTTAATCTGATTATTGAACCAAAAGTGTGAAACCATCATTTCAACCAGGAAAGAACAAAAGTAAAATGACTGCTCCTTAGCACTATTAGTTCACAGAGCTCACGTTCATTATTTTTTTTTCCCAGTTTCGCAGGTTGTAGAAGTACATAAACATGCCAAGGTTCTTGATGCTAAGCCAAAACATAGCAAAAAATATTTGAGAACCTCTTTGCTTCATCAAAACTCACATCTTTTCTAACTTAGAAACATGCACGTTGGTTTTGCTTCTCAAAAATTATATTCAGTCTGCTTAAAGTGATCCAGAATTCATTGGAAAATTGGGTAGGGAAAGATCTCTCCACAACAATCCACTTGTTTAAAAAAAAAAAAAAAAAAAACATCAGCATAGAAGAAAAATCCCCTAAATGATAGAGCTTGATAGCCTCTAATTTCTAATAAACACATAGAAAACGACTTGCCTCTCTTAGGCAATGAGTTTGAATCTATTATAAAACTGCCGATAACACATTTTCCAGATAAATGTGCTCCAAATTAGAAGAAGTTTTCCAGTCATGGGAGAGTTTATTTATTTATTTGCACCAATTACTTCTGAAATCAAACTGCATCTACTTCTCATTCTGATCTCATTAGCAGGGGGCTATCAATCACTGCAGTGTGTGCTGCTATTTGACATACGATGGCCTAAACACACAAACTTAAGCAAGATAAAATACCAAGCCTCTATCCTTCCACTGGAATTTTGTTGCTGTAGCTGTCACTTGAAATTATATCTTTTTCTTTCTGAATATCTTACTGAACAGCAAATTAAACCATATCTCTGCTATTAGCATAAATTAAATCAACTGACATTTATGCTCTATTCAAACAGAAAACATTGACTTAAAAATATTTAAGAAAGAAAAGCTATGGATTCTGATGTTCTGTATAATTTTATGTATATTTTCAGAGCCTCGGGAATCAAAGAGAAGTAGCTTTATACATATCAGTTAAATGTTAAACTCCAATTATTGACCAACTGTTTCTCATTCAGCAATAGAAGTGCAGAAAAAATGAACAGCCTTCAGTAGGATCAGACAAAAGTAATATGTACATCTTCTTTACAGAGTGAATGCAAGTCTTGTACAGCGCTCAAATTCCACACGCACCTGAAGAGCTAACGTGGTCTGACATGGAATTTTGACTTTCTGTAAGGTCCTTCCTTCAGAAAGCAAATTTTACTAAGTACTAAGGTACAAGGTACAATCTCAAATCAAAAACAACACCTGCAGCAGATTTCTGTTTTTCCCCAAGATAAACAAAGGTGGTACTGTATGGGTTAACTTCCAGGCATATTCTGCTTACACAGGGAACCTGGTGCTTTTGTGTTCAGGGAACAACCAAGCGGGAGTCATCGCCTCCCCAAACCTGTATTTATTGGTTAAAACAAGGACAGCACACGCATCAATATTGTGACTATTCATTTTGTCAGATTAAATGCCCAATTTCTAAGAAATTTTTACACCTTTACTGTCAGGTTCGTCAACAAATTTGGCAGTTCTTAAGAAGTCCCTTTGTAAACAGTAAAATCAGGGTTTAGAGAATGAATCCTTCATAAAGCAGCACCCTCGTTTCATGCCAGTGTGGAGCTGCACAGTTAGAGCATGCTCGCTAGCAACCCACACCCTGGCAGTTTAGGACATCCTTCCGAAAGATATCCCATTAATTTTTATAGAAGAAATCTGCATTTTCACTCCAGTGCAAGAAAACCAAAACCAGCCAACCTTTGACTAAAGTAATTACAACTTTGCCTAAAGAAACAGAATATTCATTACATGGCATGTATGGCCAGAAAGGGAGGATAAAGGCATCTCCCCCACGGGCTGCAGAAACTTAACAGGTTATAATGACTGTAAACCAATATATTCTCAATACACATCTTCCACAGTTTCTACTTTGTTTTTATAATTATTATTCTCATTGACACACATGGTGGAGCAAAAGGGGGCTCCTTGGAATCTGTTCTACAGATAATTGTTTCAAGGGGCTCCAAGAGAGCCTGGAACTAATCTAAAGCTGGATACCTTCAGATTTTCTATGGACTGCTTTTCTAATTAAAGTAAGAATAAACATTTTCCTCCTGGCACTTTCCCACCAAACACAATAGAACCACCAATTCTAATGTCACCGTCCACTCATTCTGCATAATCGCATTCTTGAAACAAGAGAAAATTATCATGTGTTTCATTTAGCATAAACCAAGCCTTTCCTCCTTCTATACAGCAAGTAGGTTTGCTCATTATCTCCCCTGATCCTAAAGAATTACTGAACTTGTTTATCAAAAACACTTGCTACCACGAGATCAGAGCGTGCATCTGGCAGGAATCAGCAAACGTTGAGCCTTTGATAGGACAATTCCCACCCATACCTCTGAAGTCAGCAACAACAGCAGCTCTGCCACCTACCACATGAAGCACCACGAAATCCGGAGTCCTTCGCTGTCTTTGTCCAAGCTGAGCTGCCTGAAGAGAACTAGATTCACCCTCCATCTTCTGAAGACAAGCAGGCAGAAAACTTGTTTTCTACAAGACAAGAAAGAATTGGAGTTAGCCTTGCTACTGAGTGGTGGCCAACTTCAGCCAGGCCGTGCAAACTCAACAAGCAGTGTGTGTGGGAAACCAGGACAGAGGGAAACTATTAGTCAGCTCATTTCAGCAGAACGTAGTAGTGTTTTGGTAAAGATATTCTATCCTCCCTGCAGCTGCTAAGACATGCTCTCCCAGAGCTCCAGCTCTGCACAGTACTTGCTGACAAGTCCTATCTCCTCAGACTCAGTGCAGTAGGAGACCCAGCCTTGCAGTCCCACTGCCTGCTGTTCCCCCGCTGTCAGCCAGCAGCAGGAATGCCCTCGCCCACAGCCCTGCAATGCTGTGCCTGGCTGTATCCCAGAGCACCCAGCTCCACTGTGTGCAGGGGGCGAAGCATTAGGAAGTGACTCTTCCCTACAGATACACCCCTCAAAAAAAAAAAAAAAAAAAAAAAAAAAAAAAAAAAATATATATATATATATATATATATATATATCACATTTTTTGATACATTTATCTTTATGCCATCAGAGCCCACAGGGGGCAGAGACTAAAATGATTGCAAGGCAGTTACTCCCCTCTCTGTGTGGCCTGCAGCCAGGAATACACTAGCCCCACACCAATATTTTGCTTCATTTGAAGCAAGCTGCAGTTCGACTAGCTCTATTCTTTAAAGGCAGGGATCTGCTGGTTTTAATCTGTTCCAGGCAGCAGATGAATTGAAAACAAACATTTATGTTCCTACATCAATTTTGCAAGTTTTCTTGGCTTGTCCTAAAAATTAACCCTCTCTCTGTGTTCCTACCAGCCTAGATCCCACATGCATACAGCCTCACCTAAGACCTCCCACCTCCCTAATTCACCTGTCCTCTAATCCACCAGACCTCCAGCACAAAACACCCCAACTAGAGAAAGCCTCCAGCTAACATCCCCTGAGATATGCGTGTAACTTTCAAAGTGTTAAAATTACCAGTAACAAAAGCATTTCAACAGCCGTTTTAACTACTTCTTCTATATGTAGGCATATTGTATTAAATATATTAAATATTAAAATTCAAAAAGTGAAAGAGAAAGAACGCTACCAAAGAAACGATGGCTCTACTCCACTGGAGTTATACAGAATTCTCTCTGTAAGAGAATTTTTAAAGATGACCCTTATTCTCAGAAGTAGGGCTGCTAATGGGGCTTACAAAGCTGTCTGTGGCTGGAACAGACATCCTTGCCCATCCTTGTTCTCTGGCTTGATAAAGTCACGTATTTACAGAATGAGTTCTCGCTCATCCTGTGACACACTGCTGCAAAGGCTGCTAGTCAAAGGAAGAGAATAAAGTGGTGACTACACCTGCAGAAAGTAACAGCATGTAGCAAAGACAACTTCAGTCAGATGTTAGAAGAAGCTTTACGGCAGTGAGGATAACTGAGACCACCAAGAGACTAATCACCACCAAGTACCACCGCTGTCATTAGAGGTTTCTCACTGCAGCTGGAACTGCACTGCATAAGAATGCATTGCCACTCCCAGTCCCACCCATCTATAATTCCATGTACCTACATGCCATGCAGGAGCCATGGCTGTTAGCTAGTAGGTGATATGGAGCATCAAGTACGACACCAAGCACCACTGTGTTAATATGTGGTAAGTCAGTAGTTCTGAGAAGTCCTGGCAAGGTGTGGACTGAGGTGTGAGAACGAGGCAAACACACACCTGGATGATCTATGACTCCGCTCCGTTTCTGCTTGCGCCTCACCCCAGCCTTACAGAAAGGTAAGAAAAGAGTGAACACGAAGGGCTGCACACTAGGTTACAGCTGCTATTTAATAAAAGATTCTCCGTTTTATTTCAGTTATGTCAGCAGTCACTACAGTAAAGCGCTTGGATAAAAAATAAGAGTCCAGCAGAGGACAGCATAGGGACAGAAGCAAGAATCTGTACTCATTATACCTTCAGTCTCCTGAATTCCTAATTCCTTCAGAGTTTTGCCCTTCCCCTGTTTGGTCCTCACCCTGAGAAAGACAACTATGCTCCCACAGGGCTCTTTGTCCCTCTCAGCATTCACAGCAGTTATTGGAAATTTGGCTTTTTTATTACTATTATTCCATTTTAATCTCTAAAAAAAAATAAATTAAGAAAAATCTTTTAATCTCGTCTTGACTCACACTCCGACCAGCAGGAGGAGGATTTAGTCTCCGTTTGCCATTCGGAGATGGCATGCCAGAAAGTAGACGGCCAAAAGCAAGTAGCACAGCCTGCGTAAAAGCGTCAGCAAATACCTGCTGAAAGCCCCTGCGTCCAGCGGTTACCTCCTCTGCAAGTCACGTCAACCTAAACGGGACCGCGGAGCGATGACTGCAATACGAGGGGTGCAGCGCTCCCAGAACAGCCCTTCACTGAACGCTAGGGAGCAGCGTTTCTCCAGCAAACTAAGAGCGCTGACCGACCGACCGCTTTGGTTTTTTGGTTTTCGGGTTTTTTTCCCATTCTGCTTCTCACAGTACTTCACCGAGAAAAGCCACCAGGTGTCCGAGCGAGCTGGATCGAAGGGTGAGGCTGCAGGATGGCACAGTGGTCCGTGGGCAGGGCAGCTGCCAGCCTGGAGAGACCTGGATGGGACTTCGGCAACGGCAGGAAAGGACGGCGCTGCCCAGAACAAGGCTGACGTACAACGTCTGTATCGAGACTTGCAGAGCAGTGCGCACAGTCAGCAGGGGGGCACAGCACCTGTAGTGCTGCACCACGATAACTCCCCATCGCTGTTGAACAGGACTTTGGAAGGTACAGAGAGGAAAGATGTCTCATCGTGTTAATGTGAAAGGTGTTCCAGCCCAGAGGAGGTTATTCTTATCCATGTGCTATGAGAGCCCATTGAAAGGCAATACATGAATGCACAGCTGTAAGCCACAGCCACACACATCTTTAACACGGTATTTTCTACAGCCCTGCATGTGTCACCACTTAGACAAAGCTTCTGTGTAGATAAAATGGGTAATACTGATAACATTCATTCTTTTCTTGCCTGAAGTACCCAACAGAAAGTGGAAATTGTGCAAGTCCCAGCAAGCAGTATTCTTTACTTCAGAGTTCCTGTCATCTTCCTGGTGGCAGAACTAAATGAAACTCAACTCACATCTTTCCTGTTCCACCATACAAGGAAATGCAGAATGAAGCAAATATCTAATTTACATAATTTTACTTCTACAGTAATTACTGCATGTGAAGAAACATCTGCTTGAGTGTAAGTACGAGGAACCATAGCTATTTGGTTTGAAGTATGGAAGCAGAAGATAAAAATGAGGTTCAAGGAATGGGAAAGAGGCTTAATAAAATAAGTCTTGTCTCAGTTATCCCACATGCAGAAACAGGGATTTTGGACATGCTCAGATTTTTCAAGTTTCAAATTTAAACTTTTAATTAATTCTGCAACTACAAAATGCACTTCTCTCACAGACTGTTGAATGCTTTATGCAAGTCCTCTTATGGCAAATGCAGATAGCAAAAACAACAAGCAGCTTTTCTTTTGTCATTTTCTTTCTCCTCCTGCTCAGCAATTTTTGTGCTGGATAGCAGAAACTCTGAACCAGAGCACCACTGATCTCTATTCATGTAAGTATTATTTTCTTCATTTATGACGGCGTTTCAAACATTTCAGCTAGTGCTGCTCAGAAAAGAGAGAGACAGTACACAACCATTTCCCCAATGAATAATGAAGATTTGGTTAAAACATTCTGCAATAAATGCCTTTTCATACTTAAAAGACTGACACATGTCACATTTTGATTTTATGCAATAAGGAAACAAATCACATCAGCCTTGCCAAGATGTTCTGCTAAGGGTGAAGCAAAGAGTGCTTCAGTATTTCTATTAGCAGACATCTATTTTGCTGTGATTCAGAAATGTCATTTCTCAATAACTGTTAAGTTTATTACATTCACAAGGTCTTTCATTAGCTTCAAGGCATCCTAGCCCAGGACACAGAAACACAGAAGAGCTTGGAAGAATCATGTAATATCTCAATCTTAAAGGTCTTTGTCCAGAGCTTCCACCTCTCCAATACCTGCTTAATGCAAGACTGTAAAGTACAGCTTACCCCTCTCCAATTTTACCATCAGAGCCATTCTGCAATTAATGTAGGAGTGGGTTTTGCATCTAAAATATTACAGGATGGATATAACTGATGGATAAAATCCCGGTCCTTCATTGCCCCATCACAGTACACAAGAACAGGATGCCTTGCAAGTTCTATCCAGCAATATTTGAATTCTTATTCTGACTTTCTTGACCTTCTCTTTCGTAAGAAAGTGTTTTGCTGCTCTACATTTTATGCAAGACCTCTATTGGCTTGACAGTAGCAGATACATGTTGAGAAAACCTCCTCTGAAGGCAGCTGACAATCACTCCAGCAAGCCAGTATCTGCTTAATGAGGACAGTTTCTCTTCAAAGTCAGTATGAAAGGTGTTGCCTACAGCTCCTTTTACGCATGCACAGAAAATGCCAGGATAATGGAGCTTTCCACATAGACTTCCTGAAGGCAAGGTAGACTTGACACACATTTAGTTTTGTACCCTTTCATTAGCCACCCAGAGAGCAAAGTCCAATGAGAGTCTTTCAACATCCCCCACAGCTTTCCTAAAGTTCCAGGATATCCTATCAGCCTCAGTTATTAGGAAGAGCACCAAAGCACCCCAGCTGACAGGAGTACTAAAGCCCACGGCACGAACAACCCTCATCTTCCTAGCAGAACCGAGGCAAGAGCAGGTCAGGAAGGCAAGCACCTCATACAGGTGCTGTGCTCAGCTGCAGGGCCAGCTGTCCAGGAGGAGCTGGCAGCAGACACAGCCAAGAGTGCTAGAGAGCCCAGATGCAGAAATCAATGACACAACCATCACAGCAGCACCTAGCACTTATCTAGCACAAGCCCTACATCCTGTACTACTATTCCTAAACTACATGACATGAGGTTATCAAAATCATCACAGAATGCTGTATCTTGTTACA